TTACCGATTTCAACTATCCAATAAAGTGGTCAGAATTTAGCAATTTTGCCAATTTCACACAAATTTCAAAAGATGCCAATTTCCAAATAGGGCCCAGAATAAACAAGAAAGACATTCCTGGCACTAAAATAATATTTCCTCTGTTCATTAGTCACGTCCCCAGGCCCCTCTTACATGTCTTTTGCTTTCCACTTTGATTTTTTTATTCTCACAAAAAAAAAAAAAATAAGATTTACCGTTATGCAGACTACTTCATTAGTGTAGAAATGGTATGACTAATATCGGCGCACTTGTGAAAGAATATTAGACTCGCCAGTTGACGTGTATTGGACACTTAGCATGATTTGTTTACTTTTGAACTTAGGTAAAAATCGAACATTTCTGCTACTTTGAGCTCAATTTCAAGGTATTTTTCATTGTAAAACCAGTCAAAATCATCTCAATTTCTGTAATATGTCTGGAATACGACAATAAATACCATACGAAAATACAGTGCAAAGTCGCTGTTTTAATCCAAAAACATGGTCAAAGTTTTTTTTTTCTCATTACGCACTGTGTGCTGCAGGATTTTTTTTATACTGCGCACACTGACCACATAGACCCATTGTTTCATATGTAGGCCTACCAGCTTTCTCTTGCTAGATTTGAGGGCGCTAGAATTTGTGCATACTAGTACGTCAAAAACCCTGGTGCATAAGCCGTACTAGTGCGGCCGAAACCCCCAAAGGGTTAACAGGAGGCACTGGAGTGGCAATTTCTTATCCAGGAGGTATTTTTTCACGCTGGGGCCAAACACTTCTTTAAACCATTCCAGGAAAATTTCCCTTGTGACCCATGCCCTACTATTTGCCTTCCACGTCACACACAATTTACTCTTGACAACACTGTTTTTCTTGAACACAGTGGGATTTTCAGTGATACACCAGTAAAGGCTTCACTTTGAAATCCCCACTAGCATTACCACACAACAAGAGAGTTAGCCTGTCTTTCATAGACTTGTGTCCTGGGAGTGCTTTTTCTTTCTGCCTAATGTAGGTCCTCTTTGGCATTTTCTTCCAAAACAGGTCTGTTTTATCACAATTGAACACTTGTTGGGGTTGGAATTGTTCAGCCTCTACATAACATTTGAATTCCCGCACAAATTTTTCAGCCGCTTGTTTGTCTGAACTGACACCCTCACCATGCCTTACAACATTGTTTATGCCACTTCACTTCTTGAATTTTTCAAATCAGCCTTTGCTGGCCTTTAATTCACCTTCATCACCACTTGTTTCAAGCAGTTTCTTTAAGAGGTTGTCATGTAACTGTCTTGCTTTTTCACAAATAATTGACTGCACAACACTGTCTCCTGCTAACTCTTTCTCTCTGATCCACACCAACAACAATTTCTCCACTTCTTCAATTGTTTGAGATCTCTGTTTGGTTATCGCATTCACCCCTTTTGCAATATCAGCTTCATGTTTTCTTTTCTTTTTGCCACAATGGAGCGAATTGTTGATGGTGACTTCCCATACATCCTGCTGAGGTTAGCAGTGCGTATGCCATTATCATATTTTCTTAGGATTTCTTTTTTCACTTCTACGGTTCCTCACTTTCTTTGCCAAAGGACTGAAACTAGGAGCTTTCTTTGTGGCCATGGTGGCTTATTTAGCAGTCACACACAATAAACAAGTGGCAAAAACAATGGATTATTACGGAATGTTTCATATGACTAGGCAGGATATGTTCACTCACTGAGAAACAGCGCTACACTGGCTGAGAATAGCGTGGGAGGTGGCTTTGTCTGTGCGCTTAGCACTGGACAGGTTCCGTACGATCAACAAAAATGGAGGTAATCGACAAAAACGGAGCCAAAAAATCAGCAAAAAAAGTTGGCCAAAGCCGAAATCGGTGATAACGGAGATCGATGAAAATGAAGGGTCCACTGTGTCATTATGTGACAAGTGGTGGCGGCCACTCCCGCTCCCGCTCTGACCATATGTTCCCATTCTTCCCCTTCTGAAAATGGAGTGTTTGTGAGGCTAACTGCACTAGATCACTAGTTTCATAAGGAAAACACTGAAACAATATATATTTATAAATAAATATTGTATAAAAACATAATAGAGAATGTAAAGCAATAAGCTAGTTTTATAAAGTGTGCATATTTACCTTGGTGAGCAGATGCTGGCAGAGGTGGAGGTTGAGGTAGAGGGTGGAAAAGATAGGCTACTTACTACACTTCATCGCTTGCTTGGTGCTATAGCCTTTATCAACTCTTCCTGCTTTAGTATTGTACATATTGTAGAACTACTATGCTGTTACTGCCTGGCCAAGTCCACAACCCCCATACCTCACTCATGTTTATCTATGATTTCGTTCTTAAATTCAATGGACTTCATCATCTTTTTCTTCTCAGCACTGTCCTTTGCACTTGCTTTCTTAGGTCCCATGGTTAGAAAAAAGAAATTTGGCAAAATAACTGCACAAAACGCAAGCACAGCACAAGATAACTGCTTCCACGGCAGGATAAACACGTGCACTGCTGAGCGGATGTTGTGGCATTCACTGCGCCAACTAGTGGCAGTGTTCTGAAGCTCTCTCATCACTTGGATTTTGGCTCGTAACTCAGAGCAAAAATTTGACTGAGTGACAGCTCATACCTCAAAAAACTCGTATGTTGGGGTACTCGAACATTGAGGTTCCACTGTACTCTATGACTTTTATTATGACAGTGTTCATGTGTCCTAGTAGTGCTTCATCTGATCGACCTCACCTACATTCAGCTGTGCCCAATAGACTCATCTTACCTCTTCAAATGCTTCAAATAATGACAAACAGAAGTTAGGTTATACTGTAGTAGTTTTACATAGTACAATACAATAAGAGGGTTTATTGTAATAATAATCATACACACCAAAATACAATAGTACCTCAGTACTCGAACAGCTTGCAACTTGAGTAATTCAGTATTTGATCACTTTGTTCGGTAAAAAAAATTGCTCGGTCATCGACCATTTGCTCGGCACTTGACCAAACAACTTGCGTCAGTCTCCCCACAGCTGTTGCTCAGTGCAAAACTCCCCTGAACTTCACTGTAAACTATTTCATGTTTCTTCTCATTTTTTGGTGTTTTTTTATATTTGTATAAATAAGTCACCATGGGGGTCTAAGAAGATTAGTGATAACAGCCAGCCAAAAAGAAAATTGGTTAGAGTCACAATAGAGATGAAAAATTATTATTAATTATTCCATATGGGAAAAATTTGTTCAGTACTCAAACAGATCAGCACTCGATCAGCCTTCTGGAACGAATTAAGTTTGAGTACCGAGGTTCCACTGTACAGTGGACCCCCGGTTTGCGATATTAATTCATTCCTGAGAGCTCATCGTAAACCAAAATGGTTGAAAAGCGAATCAATTTTCCCCATAAGAAATAATGGAAATCAAATTAATCTGTGCAAGACACCCAAAAGTATGAAAAAAAACAAATTTTACCACATGAAATATTAGTTTAATGCACACAAACTGAAGAAGACATGCACAGTTTGTAGTACTCTACTAACAATAGAATACATGACACTTACCTTTAATGAAGATCTGGTGATGATTGATGGGATGGGAGGAGGGGAGAGTGTCGAACTTATTGTTTAGGAGGGGAATCCCCTTCCAATAGGACTTGAGGTAGCAAGTCCTTTTCCGGGTTTACTTCCCTTCTTCTTTTAATGCCACTAGGACCAGCTTGAGAGTCACTGGCAGCCTCACCATGCCTAATCACACTATGTATGCCACTACAATTCTTAAATCTTTCAAACCAACCTTTGCTGGCCTTAAATTCACTCACATCACCACTAGTTGCAGGCAATTTCTTTACCAAATCGTCATGCAACTGCCTAGCCTTTTCACAAATGATCGCATGAAAGATGCTATCTCCTGCTCTCTGTTTTTCATTTATCCACACCAATAACAGTCTCTCAACATCTTCTAACACTTACAGTCGCTGTTTTGTAACCACAGTTGCACCTTTTGCAACAACAGCTTCCTTGATTGCCGTTTTCCTGGTCACTATAGTAGAGATGGTTGATTGGGGTTTTGTATACAACCTGGCCAGCTCCGACACATGCACTCCACTTTCATACTTTGCAATTATCTCTTTCTTCATTTCAGTAGTCATTAGCACCCTTTTTCTCGAAGGGTTGGCACTAGAAGCTTTCTTGGGGCCCATGGTGACTTATTTTGCAGAAGCAAGCACCAAAAACAGTGATATGGATAATATGGAATGTACCGAATGTATCCTTAGATGCGAGCACACTGGCTGGCTTGTAAACACTGGCACACACGTGGGCACGTCTCGGACGAATCGTATACCGGGTTTTTTAACGGGAACCGAGGCAAAAATTTTGCATTAAAATGTATCAAATACCGGATTTATCGGATACCGATGGCATCCACTGTATATGCCTTCTCTTTAAAATTCTTTGCAGTCTTCATCAGGTTATTGTCTCTTCCATTCATTTACAATACTTGATACACTGCTTCCTTATCCACCCTGTTGTATGCATTATCCAAATCCATAACTGTAACAAACAGTTCATTTTCCCTATCTGAGCACTGGTCATATTGCTATCCAGTTAGCTTGGTGTATTAAACAGACTTGTGATGAATAATTATTCAAGCTTTTAATTTCATAAAAGTTTGTTTTGTCATACATACTAATTTTGTGCAAGCTAATCTAACTTCAGCCTTGACAATTTGAACCCTATTACAAAAAATGTGCATAAACTCCTAAAATATAATTTGTTTTTTTTAGCAGATTGTTTAATATTTTTCATAAATGTAAAAAGTTAAAATGATGATATTTGTAAACATCACCTCAGTAACAAGTTTAATTGTAGCTTAAAACTTCTCTGAGGAATTTAGGTTGAGAAACTGCTGGACAGATTAAAATTAATTATATTTGAGTAAATGTTTGCCAATTAATAAATGATATCTTCTAAAGCTTTAATTCCCTTTTGTTGCAGATTACAAACTAAACTACGTAAAATAATAGCAGATAAAAAAAAAGATACCACCAGCAGAGGAAATGCTTCATGTAGTGTTCAGGAGATGGAGTATCAGGATGCTTTAGAATCGCAGCAGCAGTCTATAAGAGAACTAAGACTGAAAAATGATCATCTGGAGGTTTATAGTACAGTAATTTTTGCACTATTGTTAGATACTGTCCTTATACCATTCAGTGCCTTAAATTTCATCTTATTGATTACATGTCATATCATTTGGTGGGATCTCAGCATCTCTGACACTGTTATGTTATTATTATGTCTTTAAGGATTTGTTATTGAGCTTTTAGACTAACTTCTGTGCTTTTATTATGTTATGCACTTTTATACAAATATCAATTGCTAGAATGGATTTGTCAGTTAAAAACAGAGTAGGGGAGTTAGTAGATGGGAAGATGGAGGTTTTGGGTAGATGGCGAGAAAATTTTGAGGAACTTTTAAATGTTGACGAAGAAAGGGAAGCGGTAATTTCATGCACTGGCCAGGGAGATATACCATCTTTTAGGAGTGAAGAAGAACATGATGTGAGTGTAGGGGAGGTGCGTGAGGCATTATGTAAAATGAAAGGGGGTAAAGCAGCTGGAACTGACGGGATCATGACAGAAATGTTAAAAGTAGGGGGGATATAGTGTTGGAGTGGTTGGTATTTTTGTTTAATAAATGAATGAAAGAGGGGAAGGTACCTAGGGATTGGCAGAGAGCATGTATAGTCCCTTTATACAAAGGGAAGGGGGACAAAAGAGATTGTAAAAATTATAGAGGAATAAGTTTACTGAGTATACCAGGAAAAGTGTACGGTAGGGTTATAATTGAAAGAATTACAGGTAAGACAGAATGTACAATTGCGGATGAGCAAGGAGGTTTCAGAGTGGGTAGGGGATGTGTAGATCAAGTATTTACATTGAAGCATATATGTGAACAGTATTTAGATAAAGGTAGGGAAGTTTTTATTGCATTTATGGATTTAGAAAAGGCATATGATAGAGTGGATAGGGGAGCAATGTGGCAGATGTTGCAAGTATATGGAATAGGTGGTAAGTTACTAAATGCTGTAAAGAGTTTTTATGAGGATAGTGAGGCTCAGGTTAGGGTGTGTAGAAGAGAGGGAGACTACTTCCTAGTAAAAGTAGGTCTTAGACAGGGATGTGTAATGTCACCATGGTTATTTAATATATTTATAGATGGGGTTGTAAAAGAAGTAAATGCTAGGGTGTTCAGGAGAGGGGTGGGATTAAATTATGGGGAATCAAATACAGAATGGAAATTGACACAGTTGCTTTTTGCTGATGATACTGTGCTTATGGGAGATTCTAAAGAAAAATTGCAGAGGTTAGTGGATGAGTTTGGGAGTGTGTGTAAAGGTAGAAAGTTGAAAGTGAACATAGAAAAGAGTAAGGTGATAAGGGTATCAAATTATTTAGATAAAGAAAAATTGGATATCAAATTGGGGAGGAGTATGGAAGAAGTGAATGTTTTCAGATACTTGGGAGTTGACGTGTCAGCGGATGGATTTATGAAGGAAGAGGTTAATCATAGAATTGATGAGGGAAAAAAGGTGAGTGGTGCGTTGAGGTATATGTGGAGACAAAAAACGTTATCTATGGAGGCAAAGAAGGGAATGTATGAAAGTATAGTAGTACCAACACTATTATATGGGTGTGACGCTTGGGTTGTGAATGCAGCAGTGAGGAGATGGTTGGAGGCAGTGGAGATGTCCTGTCTAAGGGCAATGTGTGGTGTAAATATTATGCAGAAAATTTGGAGTGTGGAAATTAGGAGAAGGTGTGGAGTTAATAAAAGTATTAGTCAGAGGGCTGAAGAGGGGTTGTTGAGGTGGTGTGGCCATTTAGAGAAAATGGATCAAAGTAGAATGACATGGAGAGCATATAAATCTGTAGGGGAAGGAAGGCGGGGTAGGGGTCGTCCTCAAAAAGGTTGGAAGGAAGGGGTAAGGGAGGCTTTGTGGGCGAGGGGCTTGGACTTCCAACAGGCATGCATGAGCGTGTTCAATAAGAGTGAATGGAGATGTATGGTATTTGGGACCTGACGATCTGTTGGAGTGTGAGCAGGGTAATATTTAGTGAAGGGATTCAGGGAAACTGGTTATTTTTATATAGCCGGACTTGGGTCCTAGAAATTGGAAGTACAATGCTTGCACTCTAAAGGAGGGATTCTGGATATTAGCAGTTTGGAGGGATATGTTGTGTATCTTTATACATATATGCTTTTAAACTGTTGTGTTCTGAGCACCTCTTCAAAAACAGTGATTATGTGTGAGTGAGGTGAAAGTGTTGAATGATGATGAAAGTATTTTCTTTTTGGGGATTTTCTTTCTTTTTGGGTCACCCTGCCTCGGTGGGAGATGGCTGACTTGTTAAAAGAAAAAAAATCAATTGCTTTAATGTTCATTAGAAGTAGTTACTTTTTTTTATTAATGTTTTGTTGTTAATAGTGTATTAATTTCCCTAGCGTGACATAATCTAAATATCCTTTGGCCTGTGGTACTGCTGACTCCTTAAAAAGTTTACAATGTAGATCTACTGCTGCATGGTAAACTTTTTTTGAAGAAGACCTATGTATTAATTTTCATGGGCTTAATTTGAGCTTGCCAGTATGTACCTATTCTGTAAGTGACAGTCATCTAGAATTAACTGATTCAGAATTGCATCACACTGTACAAAGTTGGCTTTATGATTTTAGAATGTCATTACCATGGCAAGATGATAAGAGAATTTTATGTTAAGAATAAATATACTGTGATAACTCTCTTCCTATCGGAGTCATTATTTTTTTTTTACACAGGGTTTGACAAGGTTAAGGATCCCTAGCTTTATTGACAAGCTATTTACAGGTTAAGGATTCCTAACTTTATTGGCAAGCTAAGAGCTGTTACCTACATCAGCTCATTTGAAAGCATTTTTATTGTTATGAGACATACAAGTACGGAACAGGATGAAGTCGGAGCCATCTGTGGGCCAGCATTTTCATTTGATCATCTGACTTTATCTCGTTGACATCATTATGCTGTACGAATGTGTTCCATGCTCGAGTCATCCTGGGTATATATGATCTCAGATGGAGTGATGTTCTGGAGAAGGGTACAGCCAGAGTGAAGTTGCTGCTTTCTGCCCATCTTGTGGCATAAAAGCTTGTTTCATGCTGTCCTCGAAGTGGAACCAAGTGTGGTACTTTGACAATATTGGCCTTGTACATTACAGTAAGGCCACCCACATCCCTCCTGTGTTGAAGGCTCTGCTTAAATGACAGATCTATCCAGGATGGGTCCAGGCGAGAGATGAGACATTTTGCTCTGTTCTCTACTCTGTCAAGCAGTCGCAGATGAGAGGGGGGGGGGGCAGGCAAACCAAGAAAGTGGAGTATACTCAAGGTGTGAGCATACTTGTGCCTCGTACAGAATCTTGCAACCCCTACTGTCAAGCAGATGCGAGATATGGTGAAGTGCTGTAAGCTTCCTGGCTGCCTTGTTTGCTAGATTTACAACATGGTTCTTCATGGTTAGTTTGGAATCAAATTTCACCCCAAGGATATCAACTTCTTCTCCAGGTGCCAACACCCTCCCATTCATCCTTACTACTGCACCAGCATTACCATCATGGTGCCTAGAGACGGTCATCATTTGTATTTTCTCAGGTGCAAATGTTGCTTGCCATCTGTTTCCCCAAGCTGATATAGCTCTTAGCTGGTGATTGATGTAGCTTAGAGCAGCTGGCATTTCTTCTCTTGGATAAGTGAATGTCAGTGTACAGTCGTATGCATATGCATGTGATTCTGGGATGAGATGAAGAAGGTCGTTGAAGTAGACTTTCCATAACAATGGTCCCAGCACGCTTCCTTGTGGAACACTTGCCCCAATAGGATGTCTTGCTGATTCTGTTCCATTGAGAACTACACTTAGAGATCTACCATGAAGGTATTATTAGCCCACACCTTTCCCCAGTGCTTTAGCATTTACTTTAATTACATCCCCAATTACAGTGCTTCCTTATCCATCCTGTCATATACCTTTTCTAATTTCGTAAATAAATCAAACAACTCTTTGTCCTTATCTAAATATTGCACCTTTTTTAAGCTTTATTGTAAATACTTTATCCCTACAGTTTCCTCAAGGGAAGTTTTTTGATCCAAGGAAATGGACTTATCCTCACCTTCCTTGGATCAAACCAGATTGCTTCCCACTCCCCAGGTACTGTATGACTCTCAGGTTTAGCACTGTTCTTTAAATATAATACTGATAATTCGCTTCATAAATTCTCCTTGTTCCTCTGCAGTCCTGACTTCTATCATCTCCCTGACTCTTTTGATAATAATTTTACTGTATACATGTATGAGAGTATAGTTATGTCAATGCTCTTGTATGGGTGTGAGACATGGGTGATGAATGTTGCAACAAGAAGAAGGCTGGAGGCAGTGGAGATATCATATCTGAGGGCAGTGTGTGGTGTAAGTATAATGTAGAGAATCCATAGTTTGGAGATTAGGAGGAGGTGTGGGATTACCAAAACTATTATCCAGAGGGCTGAGGAGGGTTTATTGAGATGGTTTGGACATGTAGAGAGGATGGCATGAAATAAAATGACTTCGAGAGTGTATAAATATGTGGAGGGAAAGTGGGGTAGGGGTCGGCCTAGGAAAGGTTGGAGGGGGGGTAAAGGGGGTTTTGTGTGCAAGGGGCTTGGATTCTAGAAAGCATGTGTGAGCGTGTTAGAAGCTGATGGAGACAAATGCTTTTTAGGACTTGACGTGCTGTTCGAGTGTAAGCAAGGTAACATTTATGAAGGGATTCAGGGAAACCAGCAGCCTGGACTTGATTTCTGGAGATGGGAAGTACAGTGCCGGCACTCTGAAGGAGGGGTGCTAATGTTGCAGTTTTATAACTATAGTGTAAGTGTGCATCTGGCAAGACAGTGACAGAGTGAATGATTATGAAAGTTTTTCTTTTTTGGGCCACCCTGCCTCAGTGGGAAATGGCCGATGTGTTAATAAAAAAAAAAATTCTAATTTTATTCAGTGTGTTCAGCAGACTTGTTTTTCCCTGTCATTTTTATATTTTCTCTTGGCCCATTTCACTTATATATTAGGGAACTCTGCCAAGCCTTAGAT